ACGGCACGAGAAGTGCAAAAACGCATAATCGCACCGGCCCGCCTGGTGCGTTCCAGCCTGGGTGTCACCCACTTTCAACTCGAGACCCAGAAAAGCTAGGAGGCTGAAACTTTGGGAGTATGTGCCTATACCATGCGCGACCCTCACGTTTTAAAAATTTCATCCCCCTTGGACGCCTGGGTGCCGAGTACCGACGTTTTAAAAAAATATGCAAATTTTTTGGTGGGAACTCGATCTCGGGAGCCAAATGAGCTAAGGGGCTGAAACTTTGTGGGGATATTCCCTGTGCATGTACTTGCTAAAGATTTCAAATTCGGCCCCCAGGTGTGTGTGGTACTCAAGCAAAGGCGTTTGAAAGTTTTAGGGGGAAAATTGCTAACTCGGATACCAAGAAGGCTAGAAATCTGAAATTTTGGGAAAATGTTCCCTATCCAAGCACAACTCAAATATTTCAAATTCAGCCCCCAGCTGTGCATGGTACTCACGTAAGGGCGTATGAAAGCTTCTGCAGAAAAATTACTAACTCGGCAACCAGAAGAGCTGGAAGGCTGAAATTTTAGGGTGATGTTCCCTGTCCGCGTGCAATTTGAAAAATTTCAAATTCAGCTTTCCAAGTACGTAGGGTGTCCACGCACGGCCATGTAACATTTTTGGCAGGAATGCTCCATGTCCTTGTGAGGATTTCAAATTCAATTGTAACGTAAGCACAAATCCCATGTATGGACTATCAAAGTTGGGATTTCACAATCGTTCGCAAAATGCCAGTTCAGGAACTAAGCTAATTAGTTCTAATTTTGCGAGAATAGTTGTTTTCCACACTTGAGCACACAAACATAAAATGAGCTTTGGCGTACGCTTGTCGCGAGTTCCGATGCGTTAAAAATTTCGCGTAACGAAAAACGATTTCGCCACCAGATATGCTAAGAAGTTGAAAATTTGTAAGGATATTCTGTGCCTATGTGTAACCGCAGTATTTCATCTTGTTTAATTTGGCTAGAATTAAGAAGTGAGAATCATCCGAAATTTGTCTACAGATCTTTCTGTCTTCCGATCTGTGACCTAAATTCAGTTACAATTTTAGGACGGTACGGATAACTTACTCAAATATTTGAGCTGTGGATTTGGAATGCTAGGACTGTATGAATCGCTCCTACAGGGCTTTAGACATTTCTGTGCCTGGACAGCGATGTCTTCGGTCACATCTACGTGACTAAATCTCTGGCATATTACCTACGATATGGGACCCCCATAACTCATCTACTAGCGATGCTCGTTACATCGTCGTAGCTGCAAACAATGCTTTCATTTAACAGTCGTCTTGAAAGCAATAATAATTATGCGCTTTTCCACATATGCAAATGCAAAAACGCATATTATGACGAACCCGGTGTGTGCGTCTATGTGTGTGCGCATCCATCCAGGCATCTTAACTGGACAACCAAGCAAGCTTCGACGCTGAAATTTTACCAGTGGGTTCTCCGATTAAGTGCCTCCCGAGGACCGCGGTACCAACCTTCACGCTTGTCTGAGCCCGCGCACGAGTACGTCAAAGCTTTGGCGGGAAAATCGCTGAATCGGGAATCAGAAAAGCTGGAAGGCTAAAATTTTAAGGGAATGTTTTTAGCACGTACAAATTAAAAATTCAGCTCCCATCTATGCGTGGTTCTCACGTACGGGCCTACCAAAATTTTTGGCGGAAACATTGCTAACTCGAGAACCAAGAAGACCGGGGGGGAGGGGAAGGGGTGCTTAAATTTTAAGCAGACATTCCTAGCGTACGTACAAATTGAAAATTTTAAACTCACCTCCCAGGTGTATATAGTTCTCACATACGGCTCCATGAAATTTTTCGGCGGGAAAATCGCCAACTTGGAAAGCAGGAAAGCTGAGAGGCTTAAATTTTAGGGAGATATTCCCAGCCCACGCGCAGCTTAAAGACTTCAAATTTAGCGTTCAGGCGTGCGTGGTTCTCATGTACGGCCCCGTGAAAACTTTTGGCAGGAAAATTCGCTAATTCAGAAGCCGGAAAAGCTGGAAGACTTAAATTTTAACGGATGTTCCCTGTCCAAGTAACACACAGTTGCACAATTAACTTCCTCAACTTCGAGGACCAGTATGTCACAAATCGTAGCTGCTGGGATTCCAAGCGATCTTTCTACAGCACAAAATACTGCAGAAACGCATGATCGCACGAACCCGCCTGGTGCGCATCACCAACTATTTTTCCTACGGACGACAGTAAACTTTCAGACACATAAAGGGGAGTTCGGAAAAAAAATCAGGAAAACGTAGCCACTCATTCTGAAGCCTTTGGCATTCCAGTCTTGGCCACAGACTGAGCGCTACTTGCTTTGCTTTGGTCCCGAAGTGTTATCGTGAAGCTGTTGGCATATCTTCAGCAAATTGATGTTTCATGGTGCTGACGGGCAGGATGGGTTTGGGGGCTCGTTTGCTAGCCATTTTTCAG